CAGCTCACACACAGCACATTGAAAAATCATGAGGCACCGCTCCTGGAGCTCTCATGGCTTTCTGAATTAAATATCGGTTCCTCAAAGTAAATGGAAGTACTTGAATGTGTCTTATATCAAATGTGGATTACTTTATTAGTGAAAACTGTATCCTCTGGAGGAAATATAAAAGTATTTATGAGATTTGGTTTTGCTTAGTGGACAGGATTGATAGGCTCGTTTTCACCTCTGGGTCTTGTCATGCCCAGAGCTGTCACAGGCTGTCTAGTTGTTGTTGTCAGTGGTGGGTGGAGCTCAGGGCAAATTCAACTAGTACACCATGCTTTGCTTCTGTTTTTTTTTCCCCCCCAACCTCTGCTAACTTAATCACATGTAATATAAATTTACCGGTCGTGGAGTGAGGAGAACCAGCAATACTAGAGAGCAGAGTCCACAGAACACCAACAAGCAACTTAAAATTTAGGCTTATCAAATTCAAGTTGGGCAACTAAGGCAGGTTCACGGCCAGAGAGCTAAAGGAAACAATTGGTATTGAGTTGATTTACTGTTTAATGAAAGACGAGGCTGATTAGCTGACTACACTATGTCATCGTCTCATTCACCTGTTGACGTGTCCAGTACAAGTGCTGTAACCTAATTGTTATGTCTTGAATGTGGCTATTATTAGCGCTCATCCGGTGAGGAAATGGGCAACGGTTGCTAGGAGAATTGTGACGTAGCCTCAAGAGCATCTGTGTGGTTGTCCAGAAAGACAATAAAGACCCTGAACCTCAAAGTGCTGGACTTTTTGGCCCTGCTTTGAGAAGTACTTTGGTGTCTCATGTTTTCAATAGCCCGGTTGTAGCAAATTAAAATGTGAATCTAGAAATTGAAACTAGCCAGCTATCTCCATCGGTGGCTCCCCTCTCCTTTTACTCTGCAGTAGTCACCATTCATCTCGATGACGGGATTTTCCTCGTGCAAGAAGCAGCATTCGGTATTTCTGTATTTTCAGAGGACTAATGTGATCAGAGTTTCTCTGCCATCTTTGTATTTCTTCTAATGGAGTAATAAATGACTCTTCTGTAGCTGTGTGTGGGTGAGTTTGTCCTTCAGTAGACTGCAAATGAAAATCCCAAAAGTGGCTTAATTTAGCAGCCTTTTATTAATGGAAGTGACAGTTTGGGTTCTTCTCAGCCGTAATGCCTTTTTAAACTCAGAGGAGGGCAGTGATGATCATTAAAGTTTTGATTTTTGACTCTGTTTACTCCCGTGTTACACAATGTCATCATTTTTAGTGCATTTTCCTCTGCTTCATTCATTGCAAATGAATTTAGTCCCACAAACTTGACTGTGTCTGTGTTTGTAAGAGTTGGAACTCTTATGTGCAGTTTGATGCTTTGAAAGGTTTCTGGAGTAAAAGCTTAACATTTCCTCGTGCTAATTGCACATTTGTAAGGTATCTAGCATTACTAATGGATCCTGTTGTGTACGCTGCTCATCTACTGTCTCCTTTCAGACAGTCTTCTCTTATATTAATTACACCTCTGCATTTCCCACATGACAAGTGGAAATGTCTGCTGTGAAGAAAATCCTGTGGGGTTCACAGTAATTAACCCCATCAAGCTAAAAAGGCACACAGTCTTTTTTTAATTTAGTCTTTCATCTATTTGCCTAACACATCACGGTTGTAATTCAACACCACAGAAACATAGAAGAGGTCAAATTTGTCTTTGAATATGGCTTTTGACAGGTTTCGGTCGACTACAAATGATATAGTTGGGATGGAGCTTTAATCTTTTTAATTTCTTTGATGGAGAAAATGCGGCTTGGTTTAAAACTGATTATTCCAGCAGCAGAAAAGGTTTTTCAGCCAGAGCCAAATGGAAAATCAGCAGGATTCCTCTTAATTTGGATATCATTTACTAAGGTGTAATGCTCATTTTGTTAAGCAAATGGTCAGAAATAACAAGAAAATGAATAGATTTCTTTAATAGGCTGACAGAGATTTATTGATTTTGACTGCATGCAGACCAACTGTTGTGCAGGAGAAACACCCAGGTACGGTGTATGGTCGTGACATCATTTCAACTCATTACCATAAATGCACATACCACACAGGTGGAGATATTTACCTGACAGTACTGCGTTTGTATAAAAACTAACCAGATAAAAATGGCTACACCTCTGGTTTGCCCTTCTCCTTCATTGGAAAGATTTTTTTTTTCTGTTAATTTGATTTCAGTCAGTAATATTTGACAGTTCACAGCCTTTTACAGAGAAAGCTTAAATGTCCAAATACCTCTGGATATATCTGGAATATTCCAGATATACCTTCTGCCTTTGAGGGAGAAAAATTACTGAACCTTTCAAAGTAGACTCCATCTATTCAGGATGTGACAGTGATCCCATCAGACAGGCTTTTTAGCCATTATTTTCACAGTCTGATTGCATGAGGGTGTGAAGTGTGTGATTGTGTGTAGATGGTGATGTTTGAGCCCATACTGTCATACAATATGAAAGATTGGGACGAGGGATACATAAATAACTAACCTGCCTGAGTGGAAATGTAAAAGCACACAGAAAACTCGATTTCTGAACGGCATGATCACATTAGTTACTGATGGGCATCACTCGAGAATGAAGTCGGGCTTACGGAGGCCAAGAAGGTCAATCAAACAGATGAACCCTGAGCAATGCCCATCTTAGTTTAATCCTCTAAATATATAGGTCATAATCCTGACCCTATACTTTGGAAAAAGAAATGTAAGCAATATTTGATGTGTATCTTTGTTTCACGAGTGCCTACATACAGGAGCAGAGTTTAATGAAAACAAAAATGACATTCTGATGTCATAAGGTTAAAGTTGTCACTGACATCTACTTAAACTATTTGTATCTGTGTACACTTAATTAAACCTCTGCATTGACTCTTTGTAGAGCCTAAGAAAGTGACCATCTCCATTTTCAGTATTTATACCTGTGCAGCTGCGTCAGTGCTGATGTGTAATGTCGGGTTTCAAAAGGGTTTGCAGCTACGATGTACCAGCGTTTTAGATTCAACGCAGAATCAGAATACTTTAGAAGTGCCAGGGGGAAAATATTTTTTTTATAGATGCTCACCTAATATATCAATGTGAAAGCTAGATAATGTAAACTGTATAAAAAGTAAAACTAATTAAATATTTAAAAGTTGATACAATGTACAGTAAAAACAAGATATTGTAACTACACAGAACTATTAAAAGTCTCTTACACCTACGAGTGCTGAGAGCGATGACTTGTCAACAACACAGGAGACAAGAAAATACTGTGGTTGCAAGAATGACTACTGTGAAATTCATATTGTTATAATCATAATTTCCTGTTCCAAAGACCTTGCAATGGGTTCACGCCTGCAGTGATAAAAGAGAGGCTTAAATTTAAGATCTTGCCTAAGAACTTAAAAATTCTCCCTTTTTAAAAATAAAAACTATGAAATTGGTCTTTCAAATAGGAGCTGTTTTTTGTTTTGTTTTGATTTTTTAAATCGAGAAGCCTCTCTCCCACCAGTAGGAAAATCATTTATAAACAGATTCAAAAGTTGTGGCCCCATGACTGAGCCCTGGGAGACACCCATTATTTCAGAGTTGCTCATTTTTCAGCTCTCACACAGCCTCCTTTCTAAATAACAAATAACCAGAATAACGGGCCGCGTCTCTTGTGTTTTCTGGTACATTTATGTGGAACTGGGTTTTCATTTTCAAGTTTGAATGAGACAGTGCAAATCTGATCTCTTTCTGAAAGTCATTCATTATCAGAATATTCATATGCTTCAAGTATTGTTTGGTTTAGTTTCCAACAACACTTGTGCATGTGTAATAAATCTCCAGTCAACATTTGGGGAATGACAGATTTTTGATCCACTGGTGAAATCTACACAGAAAACCGAAACCACATGTTGGGAGGAAAGATATATTGTGCAATCATTTAAACAGTCTTAAGTTAATCTGCAGTGTTTTCAACACACTTTTCTCCAACTTCAACAGGCTTCCATGTCCGTGCTGTTTCTAAAAAACAAAAACAAAAAACAAAAAACAAGAATCATCACCTTATTATTCATTCAGATAAGATCAAAGAATACTTCTGAATAATCTGGGTTTGATTCCTCTGTTTTTCTCTCTCACAATATTCTCTCTGTGTATACGTTCGTATGTGTTCCTTTGGGCGGGAGGATGCCGATCAAAGCGCTGTCTTGACTGTGAATTCCTCAAATAAAACAGACTTGTAAGATTGTTTAATAACCGTGCACAGTAAACAGGGAGCTAGGCCTTATTTTGTATGCTCCTAATGTTAAATTTGGTTTCATTCAGTGACCATCATAGCCATTTTTCTTCATCAAATATCCTGAAATGAAGTAGAATTGCACAGATTTCTGTCCAGCGAGGTAACAAAGTCTCACTGCCTTCACTGTGCACGGACATGTCATGCTTATGTGAATAGTCAATCCACAAATTCCAATTCTGAACCAGGAAAAACTGGCTGCTGTTCTGCATTTCTTCTTCGCATCATTTTGTTGTCCCTTTGCATTGTGATCTCTCTCTTTGTGGTTGTTTTGCATGTTTTTTGGGTCTCTGTAGTTGTTTTACATCTCTTTACAGTTATGATGCACCTTAGGCGAGTCATCCTGTTTCCTCTTGTGACAGTTTAACCACTTTATGTATCATCTTTGTGTCTCTTTGCAGTCATGATCTGTGTTTTTAAGTCACTTTTTGCATGTGACACCCTGGGCAGTAGGACCCCAGTAGGACTGGAATTCAGCAAATTGCTTTTTGCAAGTATTATATTTAATGCTATCAGTTCATTGAAAGAAAGACATTAAAATGACATCATGTTTTTCATATGGTGAGTTATGTAGGAGCCCATGATCCCTGCGAGGCCTGGTGCCCCCAGGCCGAACAGAGCCAAGGGTAACCCCTCAGCCTGCAGGGTCAGGGTAAGTGAGGGGCATGAAAATTATGGCTGTGTTTTTCATGTTTATCTGATAAACAGTGTAAGCAACATTAAGCAAAGCAACATTAATTAAGTGCTAAAAATACCAAAGAGTTCTTTAGCAAACACAGAATCAGCTTTTAGCTCAACAGGCTGGTTGATATTTGGCTGCCCTCTAGAGGCCAAGAATATTACTCTTACAGGTCTGTTGATTCCAAATTGCTTATCACTTAATTCTTGATCCTCTTTGAAAGAGTCCCTGCTGATTAAGGTGGATAAAATGAGACTTTCCAAATATTTGTTTGACAGGAAAAAAAAAAAAATCAAATGTTTAATTTCTAAAAATATTCTTTTGTGGAAACAGTAAGTGCACCTTTGGTATTGCCCATTTAGCTGATATAGCTTCTTGTAGGCATAAGTGTTAACATGTCTCTGAAATGCACATGAAAATTTTTGACCGCTGTCACATGTAAAATCTGTTCAGCTGCATAATTTGCGAAGCTTTCACCCACAGCTGCCTGCTGTAATAAGGTTCGCTACATTTGTTCAAATAGATTTTTATCCTCATGTACCAAAAGTGTCTAAGAATGTTTAAACTAATCTGAAGTTTTAACATATTACAAAGGGAAGAAAGTCCTTTGGTTAGTTTTGTACGTGATACTCATTTTAATTGGAAAACCACCCCATGCTTTAATGTTGTTGAGATATAATCAATAATGTGCAAAACAGTGGTTCAGCTTCTTCTCCTATCAGCTTATCTGTGGTGAACCCTTGTACTACTGTGCAAACTGAGTGAAAGTGCATAGTGAGGGGGTGTAGGGGCTGTATTGGAATTGGGCCAGTCTCTCTTTGTTGAGGTCCTGGTGAATGTTTTACAGGTTTAGGGTTACAGAGTTGTGGTTCAACTTTGAACAACAAAGATTTACTTGGGTTGTTTTGCTCCTTTCTTAAGATGCAAGAGAGGTTTAATCCTTAGTGATTGTTAGGTTGACAATACTAGTTGTATTTTAATATTTTTTTTTATTTTTTTAAACTTTCTGGAGCCTTTGAACTGCACTGATGTTCGCTTTAACTAATATGAGTATATCCACCCTAGCAGTGCAGACAGCCAGATTGGAAACCTGCAACTGTTCATTTCATATTTACTTCAAAATGAAACAGTCTTGTGTCTATCACCTTACAGAGCTAGAGAAAGATTTTCTGAAACTTCACTGTGTCTGCAGTTAGAGTTAGACCAGATCAGTTAGTTGGTAAGATCTTATTCCACTTGCCACCGAGCCTTTTGAAATGTTTGAAACGATGCAGGAAAGTTTGCAGTTTGTTTTCTGACAATTCTGGGCTTCATAACTGAAATAAATTGAAAACAAGCGATCAGAGTGACAAGTCACACCTGATAAAAGCTGCTATTGTCAACACCAGACTGCAACAGACTTTTTGCTTAATTGAGCAGAAACACAGAGAAGTTTAGGAAAGCAGCTGAAAAACACCATTACCAAAATAGTCTGAAGAAAGTGCAGCAAATGAGTGGTATTCATTAACTACTTACTTAAATAAACTACCTGCCTAATAATTTGCAGTAGATACTGTGGCTTCCTATCTCTGGTTATGGATTAGGTAGATGTGTGTTTTTCCAGTGCAACAAGTGGATGCTTGTTTAGATTGGGATTTGCATAGTTTCAAGGCTGGATCTGGAGGTTTTTTTTAAAGCAGTGTTTCCAGGACTTTCCTGCTGGAGAGGGAGCCCTGACATTGTTGTTGGAGTTGCTGTTGGAGTGCTGCCTATGTGTGCGTCTGTAGCAGTTCTTAGCTGGCTGGTATATGTCGCTATCTCGTGAATGTGTCAAAGTACACATTTACACATGACAGGCAGAACCAAAGATTTTTATTGCATCAGGTGCTTTATCTTGTAATGGCTATATTACAAGGTGGTGGGTGGTAGGTAGATTTCAAGGCCAGTGAGAGTGGTTGGGCAGACCTGCTAACAGGAAGGCAGAGAAGTGATCAGGAGGAGCAAGGGAGAACCAATATTTCTTAAAGTGTGGATACCAGCAAACTCCTTCTGGTGTTGAGCAGACACAGTGAATTTATTCATTCATTTAAGATTTCATTGTTGCTTAGCATAAAGATCTAACCTGTAGTTCTTGTATGAGCCAAGTTGTAGAGGTAGGCATATGTATGCTGGCTTTGTCACTTGAATCGACAGGAATTGCTGCAGTATCCTCTCTCTTATCACAAATTCTACAAGAAACCAGCAGGACTGCTAGGGGACAAATCACGGTATCAGTCCTAGCAGAATAATTACAACACAGCCTGCCAAGTAAAGCAAACATTTATATTATTAGGCTGCGCTGTGTAAATCTTAGCTAGACACACTTCATACAGACTTTAATGACATAAAAACCAATAAAACAAGAAAAACCAGGAGTCTCACAAACCAATCTGTTTCATGCCATTTTATTTATCCATAAACACAGTTGCTTTTTAAATTTTTGCTCATATGAATTCATATGAGTGTCCACAGAGGAATTCACTGAACTATTTAAACTGATTGTAGTGATACACTACTGGATTTAATGTTGCTGGAAGCAGCACAGTGGTCTTATGGTGGGGAAACACTCATGACCGCCCGGATACTGTGGAAAGAAAGAGAAAAAAAAACTGAGTTTCACTTTAGCAAATAATAACTTGTGTTTTTCTTCAGCTGTGAAAGGCAAATCTACCATTTGCAGTTCTTCATGAGTTCAATGGCATCATTAGCTTGATCCAAAGTCATGTTCTGACTAATAAACTCGTCCACTTTCAACTTCTTGTCCAGGTAGTCTTTAACCATCTTGGAGACGCCGTCCTTACTCTTAAATCCTGAATCACAAGATTAAAATAAGAGCCACATTTTAGAACATGTAAACTTAAAGCTCCTTTACTTGCGATTCATCACTCCGTGATAATAGTTATTTGTGGGGACGTAACAGTCTAAGGTCTAGGGGTAGGTGTGGGGAACAGTAGAAACAGGACCAGGAAAGAACGAGAAGGAAGCCAAACAAAGCAGTGTGGTGAATATTAAGTTCTTATTATGAACAATCCCAAATCAAAGAGATTGTTCTTATTAATAAAGCGGCGTTGCAAAAAAGACAAAGGTCACAACTCAGTCTTATGTGTCTTAAGAAGGTGGAAGAACAAACAAGCACCAAAGAATAATGCACTTCTAAAGCCCAAAGGCCCACCCCTAATCACTTGTAGCAGCACACACCTTACTGCTGCTGGAGCCCACACTACTCACTGAAAGCAGTATACTTCCCCACTGCTCCCACAACTACACTATAGCACCTCTCCATTCCCTAACAATCAGTGCAACGACAAAGAGAAAACCCACCCCACACGCTTCTTCTCTAACCCTATATAAGGTCTGAGAGTTAACTGCTGACTGGGTCCAGGTGCTGAATGAGGGAATGAGCAGCAGCTGTATCCTGGAGCGAGGGCAGAGAGAGAAAGAGAGCAACACCACACCCACACACTCCCACAGCCTCACAGGATGTAAAATAGACTGATCTCACCTCCAAACATGGAGCCCTTCCACGTACGTCCAGAGATGAGGTGAGCCGGTCGAATAACTATGTCATGCAAGTCTGTCCATCCAACAATCACACTGACACCCCAACCTTGGGCTGAAGACTCCAGGGCACTGCGCTAGATGGAAAAGAGCACAGAGTCAGTAGATCAAAGGGCTTCTTCAATGATTAAAATCAATTATTACATTTTAAATGCTAAGGAAAAAAAAGTATGCTTGGTTAACTTTATTTCATGCTCCATGTTCTTAAACCACATTAGATTAAATCTCCCTACCATGACTTGCACATTCCCAACACATTCCAATGAGTAGTCCACGCCTCCATTGGTCATCTTAGTGAGCACTTCATGGATAGGTTTATCGTGATCTTTGGGATTCACAAAGTCGGTGGCTCCAAACACTTTGGCCTTCTCAAACTTGTCTGGATTGACGTCAACGGCGATAATCCTTTTGGCCCCTGCAGCCTTGCAGCCCATGACTGCAGCCAAACCCACAGCTCCCAGACCAAACACGGCACAGGTGGAGCCTGGCTCAACCTACAAGGAGAGACTTAGTCACTTTGTGCTAGGTATAGTAAAGTTCTAATATATAGAAACATAATGAATGGACATATTCTGTATCTTCTAATGAGTGGTAACTCTTGCCAAAGCATTTCAATCTTGATGAGAATTTCTATTGAAAAGATTTTAGTTTTAAGTCAAAAATGGCTCAATTTATTGTTGTGATTTGGGGCTATATAAATAAAATTGAATTGAACTGAAAAGGACTCAGTACCACCAAGCACACAAATTATTTCAACTTTTTCCTCCGACACTGTTCTCGTTAACTCCACCCTTCTTCTCCTCTCTTGTCTGCTGCTTTGGATGAATGAAAGCATTTGTCATTGTATATACAATCAAATTACAGTGTCTCTAACCATACATTTGAATATTTATTCCAAGCATTTAAACTCCTGTTGTTAGATTGAAATTGTTAAATGTTTCCATTGTTATACTTAAATTTGTAAACCGTGCCTTAAACTGCATGGTTAGATATTCTTCTGTTCCTCCCCTACACATCTATGATGCTGAGGGAGGTAATTAGCTGTAGCCGTTTAACTGCAGGCACATTCTATGTGAGATTCTGGTTTCCTTATCTTCTGAGGAATGTAACTGGTAAATATGGCAAATGGCCTGTATTTATATAGCGCTTTACTAGTCCCTAAGGACCCCAAAGCGCTTTACATATCCAGTCATCCACCCATTCACGCACACATTCACACACTGGTGATGGCAAGCTACATTGTAGCCACAGCCACCCTGGGGCGCACTGACAGAGGCGAGGCTGCCGGACACTGGCGCCACCGGGCCCTCTGTCCACCCCCGGCCATTTAGGAGCTCACCTATGCTTGCATATGGTGAACCATTAAAGTTAAGCCGTATACGGGTGTGGGGAGATGACCTTTGGATAACTAGGAAATGTGGTTAAACAGTTGTAAGCATATATTGTGTGGCAGGAAGTCATGTACACACACACAGTGTTCTAACCTTTTGTGACCTTAAGGGTGGTTCTTGTATTCACTGAATAAAAAGCTGCAAGGGAAGGCTGTTTCTTTGAAATTGGCTAGGAAACAGGTGAGCAGCGTTCAGCTCCAAGAGCCTGGTTCCAACCAGCCTCCGTTGCTAACAAGTAAAAAAACGGTTCCATCGTTGTCTTGCTTTCTTCCGGGGTGATGAGTCTCTGAACTAGCTGGTCTGAAGCGCAGACCGAACACCTGTACCTTTACGATCTCTATTCTTCACAACCTCACCTTTCCACCCGTCTCTCTCTCTCATCCACACACATGTATTCTGTCTTGGTTCTGTTGATATTTATTCATCTTCTCCCCAGAAAGTGCCTCCACCACTACAAGCTCACTCTCACCTGTTTCCTACTCTCACTACAGATCACAACGTCATGTCCAGACATCATAGCGGAGACATGAGGTTGAGATACGAGGCGTGGTGCTTTGTATTAAAGATTAAATAAAATCTCGTGGCCTTGTTTGTCTGAAGGACATTGTTCCAGATAACTTCCTTGTTCTTTTTAGAGAGAAAAGTCTTTCTACTGCCAAATTCTTGAAACAAGCTCCACTTATTGAGTCTTTTTTTTTTTTTTTAAATTGTACTGTCATAAAGTTTAGCATTTATAGTTGAGGCCAAAATTATTAGCCCCTCCAGGAATTAAGGCACATTTATCTAAACTTCTTCCCAATGTTTGCAGTATTGATAAAACTTGATATAATTAAAAATTCACCAGTGCTATTTGGTAGCTTCTGGTACATTTTGTAATATAAAATATATTTTTAGGCTTACTTTTTACCATATAGTGTAAAAAATAAGGGGTGGTCAAAATATTAGCCTCATGTGAATGTTTGCTTTCAAAACACACCTACAGTAATTAACCAATCAGCTTTGAAATCACACCTGTGCAACCAATTGGCTTCCTAACGACATTCAATCAGCATCAGCTTGTCTTGCAACAAGACAATGACCCCAAACATACATTGAAATTAGTCCAACAGTTCCTCAAGGATACTAAAACCAAGATTCTGGAGTGGCCCGCACAGACCTCAATCCTATTAAGAATCTGTGGCAAGTGCTCAAAGTGAATGTCCATGCTTGGAAACCATGCAAGCTAGAACAATTTGCAATGGAGGAATGGAGACAACCAAGTAAAGACCTACTCTAAGAGACTGTTGTCAGTTGTGCCTCAGAAAGCGTACAGTACTGAGAAATTATGGCTAATAATTTTGGATGTCTCATTTTTGCCCTTTCAACTTGGTGTATCAATAAAATATCCTAATTAAACTTAGTGAACATTGTTATATTGGAAACGGACACACTATGAAAAAACACTTGTTTTTAATTAATGGTCATTTTCATATTGAAATTAGTAATTTTGGCCTCAACTGTAACATGCTATCTGCGGACTGTAGAATCTGAGATGCAGCGCCTGGGGTTTTTTTTTTCCAGTTTCTGTAGGGTGACATTCACTCCAGTCAAGATTTTGGCATTTTGCTAATGTACACCTGAATCCTCCAGACCAGCAAACACTTAAAACTTCTGCTTCTGCTCTTCCCAGATTGGTTTAAAGTGCCCTGATATGTCATAGGGCCTCTACAGACACACTTAAAAGATTTAAGCAGCAACAACTGCAGGGTTCACTTCCAAAATCTGGAAAAATTATGTATAAACTTCTTAATACTTCTCTGAAAGAGAGAACAAGCGCATTTCCAATTCCCAAATCCAAGCCCAAATTACAAACCTTAGCAGTATTAACAGCTGCCCCATATCCAGTGCAGATCCCACATCCAAGAAGACAGACTTTGTCCAGAGGAGCAGCAGGATCAATCTTAGCCACAGCCATCTGATTGATCACAGTGTACTCAGAGAAGGTGCTGGTCCCCATAAACTGCAGCACCCTCTTCCCTTTACAGGTAAACCTGGATTCCACTCCAGCCATGATGGCCTGATTAATCCTGGTCCTGAACAAGAGAATTTATGCTAAAATTAAAAACAACATTTTTTAAAGGCACGTGTCTAATGCTTTAACAGCCTATGAACAAAACTGAAGATAAAATGGATCACAGGAGATGAGTGCTCACCATGCTACCTCACACTGGTTGGTCCTGGGATTCTTACATAAGTGGCATTCTTTACACTGAGAGAGGAAAAGAGGAATCACCTTGTCTCCTGAAAGAAAACAACAGTGAAACCAAACAGAATATTTCCCATGCTTCTTTTTAGAGGCTTTGCTGATGCTGTTATTGTTGAGCTGCGTGACCTCAGTCGATGGAGAATATCTACTTAAATTACTGCTAAGTATTATGATTGAGTGGCCTGGACCACAAGATCCAACAGCTTTAAACATTTAGTTGTACAAAGCTGCCAAAAGAGAAACTGCAAACATTTAGATCGTAAAAAAAGACTTACTGGTTACTGTATTTTT